TGTAGGACACACATCCTTATCACAATGATTCACATTTTCCTGTACATTAATTTTTTACACATCGATTATGTTTCTACGTCTACTCTACGTAACAACAGTTAATTATACATCGTTTCGCCCTCGTTCGGAGCGACGTCAAGATCTAATTTTAAAATTATCAGGGTCTAGGCTAATGGCTGTTTTAAAATATTTTGCCTGAAATTGGGACACAATTCTTTTTTAATCTCGATTCTGACGTTAGCTAGACGCAGACAGGCAAACATGGCATAATTTACTGCACAGTAAACATCCACGTGCGTAAATAATGGTTAGATATAAACATGGAATGATAATATGTAAATGGTAGCATTATAAGTACGTAAGGTACCTATTTGTTCCTAAGATTTTGAATGGTTTCCTATGTAATTGCATTATTATATTACTGAGAAATTAAAAAACCGATACCTTAATAATAATAAACTCGACCTCTACATGTGTAATTTTAATTCATTCTTTTTGCACTCAATGGGCACGTGATGCCATATTTATAATTATAAGACGCATACACACATGTCTAATCTCGACATTTACAACCCTCGACCTACGCAGTTTCGCGGAATTAGGTAATTTATAAATGTTAGGTAGGTAGGTAGTAGACAAAAATATTCCACTTTTCTATACGGACGTACCTAAATAGATGACCCATATTTAATGTTATCTTTATGACCAAGTCTAATAGTGTGATAGGTTGCCGCGAAAAATTTGTTGGCTCTCATTTATATAGCAAAGGTGTTCCATAATACTGTACCACTTAATACGTAAATATCTTGTCTATTTATACCATATTACCATCAACACAAGTTATTGACCTTACGGTTAACTGATGTATTAGAAATCACCACTGAAAAACATGACACTGAAGTAGATCGTGACGCGCTATGAATTAACAAATAAAACGTAACATTTGAAATTGCGTAACGTTCATTTGAAATGCTACGTAGCAGTCTGTGCTAGACTGATTGTTTTAGAAGTACTAACGAACGAAATATGTAATCTATGATAACTATCATTTGGACATTATTTTTATTCCGTTTTACCGGAAAGATAGATGAAAAAACCGTTCGGGATTTTAGTGATATTCTACGAATATACTTAACGACCTTATCTAAATGTCATGACTAATGAATGATGATAAAAAATATTTTTGGCTTACAAATGTCACTTGCAGATTATTATTAATTTGGTAACATTTATATCGGAATTTATATATGAAATGGCAAAGGCTATAATAGACTGACCTTTAATATTATTGCCTGTTTGATGGGTTTACGAGGATACTATTTCTTCTGTCTTTTGTGTGAGGTATAGGTTATATATTTATACTCTGATTATTCTGAAAACCAGTTCCGCTGCAAGTCAATGATCCGGCTCGAGATGTTTCTGTCAAGGGCGGTTGTATACTCTGAAACAGGTGCTCTTATTCACCAGGAACCCTCAAAAGGTCAAATAAAACTTGTTTCGTTTCGTTTTTCTATTTGTCCAAAGTAAGTTACTTAGTATGTATGCTTAATTTATTTACTACTAGCATTTGTCCGCGACTCCGTTCAAGTGGAATAGCGCATTCCTGCAGAATTTTGGTAAAAAACTATTCTATGTCCTTTCTCGAGTTCCAAATGATGTCTGTACCAAATTTCTCAGAAATCGGTTCAGTAGTTTAGGCGTGAAGAAAAGATAGACAAGCAGACAGAGCTACTTTCGCATTTATAATATTAGTTTGGATTATTTAATCTAACGAAGAAAAGGAAGCGTTCTTCCTAAAATTCCGAAAGATATGCTGTAGGAGGGCCAATGTCACTGTGAGGTAACAAGACGTTCTCCACTCCAACGATTGATGGTACAAGGCCAACCAGAGGCCCGTGCCTTTCATTATATGCACGTGAATGACTTAAATGCCTTCCTCAAACCGTCATCTTGAATGACCAGCTTTTGCATAGAGAAAACTTATAGATTATTGATTCTAAAATTTAAATTCATAATTTTTTCTCTTGTTACTCCAATAAATCTTATATTAATTGACGTGACTCTGACTGTTCTATGGAAAAACTAATCATATTTCTAAAATAGCAAGATTTACTTACCTTAATCAAACTGAGAAAAGTAATTGGTATATTATTTATAATTTTATTATTTGCTGCTTATAAAATATAAATAGGATATTGGTATTAGAAGTACCTTTAATTGATACTAGGTTCTTATTTAGTTTCCTTACTATTTCTGAACTAAGCACTTTCGAAATTCTTAAGATTTTTTTGTTTCATTCTTAGAACCTATCAAAGTTCTAATAATATAAATTTTGTTTAATTCACCAAACCCCAAGCGAACGCCGGCGTTCGCGCTCCTATTGTTCTTTCATTGTGTCTCTAACTCCCACGATTGAAATGTTAAAGAATATTTTAATTCAATAATTTAAAAGGTTTTTATCATTAACCTTGCAGCATACCGGCGCGTTAGGCAATGAGTCTCAAGTCTCAATCGAATGCAAACTCACAGTCTACTAACCACCCTTGACACCATTTTGTCTACCAAGCCCACAGTTTCAACTTGTAATTTCATTACAGACATCAATCAATTCATTCGAATTTGTTAAAAATACAAACGGCCATTGTAGTTTCTAGGTATTATTACTTGACGCATCTACATTTGTGACATTATCTGATTTTATTAACGACAATATTGTTCCACGCGCGATTCAAAGAGCCTGTAGCCTGTACTACAGCCTGGGATGTTTAGCCGGCGTTGCGGGGTAAGCGCAATGAGGCACGGTGGCCTCGGCCAAGAGCGGGAGAAGGAACGGGGGTGTTTTTACTCAGTAAGAGTCTGACACTTTCTTTCGCCTCAGAAGTCATTTGATCCCCGTGACAAAAACAAAAATATATTGTTAAGTACTCTTTCATGTAAATAGCCATGTTTAATAGGACGGAATTATATAAAAATTGCCGTACAGAATGCAAATAGTTAATGACCTACATTAACACAGGATATTCTTCATCCTAGCACTGCTAGGCAATGCTACTTGCAGAATCCATAATTTTCAAACTGTCACTCTTGTTATAAAAATCGTTTTGAAGTTATTTTCTCTCCTTAACAAAAAGAACGTAATTTTAGCGTCTCTTGTTCGTAGTATCCAAGCACTTAGTTTTGTGTGTTATCTGTACCTCATATGTATGAAAATTATTGATGAATGAGTGTCTTCGCTGTGGTGACGTCATTACACCGTCAAATGAATTATTTTTAGGTCAGTGCTTACGTTGGCATGTGACGACATCCATTCCATTTATTATTTGATGTTATCTATAAGGATCGAAGGTTTTTAATTAATACACCACTTGTTGGAAATATCTAGATTATATCTTTTCTTTCTTTCTTTCTATATCATAATACTACTTACTGGTATTATAATGGTCAGATCAATGCTGTATTGATCATACTTAAGTACTTACATACATATTTTATAAAGCGAAAGTAATTTGTGCTTACATGAATAATCTAGTGGTTTAGCAATTTGATTATAATTTTATAACTATTTATTTCCCACTTAAGTGTCATGTTATATGAATTAGTACAAGAGAAAGTAATTCTGACTAACTTCAAAATATTATTTTTCTCAAAAGAGAGTAGTAATTAATTATTTGTAAAATATTTTATTGAAGATAGTACGTATCATTCTAGATGAAAGTAAAATGCCTGCCCGCTTTATACCGAATTTGAGCCGCTATTTTTTATTTGGACCAAATAAAAATAACAAAACTTTTTAAAAAAGCCCGCCATGTTATCAACTCAGTATAAAAGTCAAAATATTAAAAAAATAAACGTCACAATCAAAGAGTTTAATAAGTACAGAGATTGTCACAGTTTACTTGACGTTGACCTTACCATTCCGCCGTCAAGAGCTCATCTTTGACCAAAAACCAATTTAAAATAACATACAATGGTTTCTTCCTGACTTCTGTAGTCTAAATTATAACGAAAATGAAAAGGCCGACAAAGTTTATGCTTAAATTTTCCGTTCATACAGGCTCATTACTCAAGACTAATGATGTGATGCATTGGATTTATATATCTTTTATAGCATTGGTCATGGATTGGAATGCAAAGACGCTTTGCCACTTCAAAAATGCAGCGGTAACTATCAACTATTGGTATTATATTATATACCTTTACCTAGCATAGGTTACCTTTACTTTTAACATACCTTCCATGATATTAGTATGAGTACCAGTCATATCATATAAACTCAGGTCGATCTAAACCTTTTAGCTCTTCAATTACAATGAAGAAATTATTTTTTGTTGAAATTTATACTTGGTCATCTTCAAGTAAATTACAGAATGTAGTAACTACAATACTATACACGTGTTATTACTCATATAGCTTCTATAATACTTTAATTCAAAATTTCCCAATTTATTGGTCCATTATTCCAGACATCCGTATCTCGGACTGAGTTTTATACATCTATTTACATATTTAATTATAATAATTTTAATATTTACTAAAATTTATATCACGGCAGACTGAACAACTTAAATATTCGGCAACAATATGGTACCAGAAAAAGGAGGAAAAAGAAGAAGAGAAAGAAGAGCCACAACATGTGTAATACCGTAACAGATATAATGTCATTATGTAAAAATAGTTGTCGAGATACTGGTTGGCTTAGCGTGGATATTACCAGTAGCGGCAGTGTCTACATTAATTTAAACTAGTTTTTTAAATTGTAGTCTATTTAATTCGGTATAACTTAGCGTCAAGCACCTAAGATCCATATCCATCTGAATATGATTAAAACCTCTGTACCGTCTCCAGGTCGTAGATAGACCCATGGTTCTATATCGTAAAGGGACGTCATAGCGTTAAAATGGATTCGTTGACACTAGAACGGAATCAGTTTCATTCAACCTTTATTAAAATTGCAAAATATTTGTTGATAGTTGTACTTATAAATGTTTTGTCATTTCCAGTACTTGGACATTGGCGAGGACATGAACGTGCCGGATGACTTCACCCAAAGTGAGTTGCAGACAGGAAAGTGGTGGCGACATCTGTTGGCCGGAGGCATTGCGGGAGCAGTCAGTCGAACCTGCACGGCTCCACTAGATAGACTCAAAGTATTTCTACAGGTATGTACATACGTCTATCGTCCGTTTATGATTCATAGTATCCTGATGTCATTCCTTTTACAAAGCTGATTCATTCTTCAATAAATTAGTCCTACGCTCGATGTTATTAAATATGCATAACAATTCACTAATTTTCCATAAGTAATACTCGACAGATAATTGTTTGCAGGACGTAGTATTATCATTTTATGACGTACTTAGTTAATAAGTTGTTACTCTAATATGTGTCGTTGTCCAATTTCAGGTTAACCCAACGAGGGAAAATATGGGTGGATGTTTAGCAAAAATGATAAATGAGGGAGGTATTAGCGGCTTATGGAGAGGTAATGGCATTAATGTAATTAAAATTGCACCCGAGTCGGCCTTGAAGTTTGCTGCCTATGAACAAGTGAAAAGACTTATTAAAGGAGACAAGAGAGCCAATCACCCCTTGGAAATCCATGAGCGTTTTGTAGCTGGTGCAATGGCGGGTGCGATGGCGCAAACTGTGATCTATCCACTAGAGGTGTTGAAAACAAGATTAGCTTTAAGAAAGACGGGCCAGTACAGCGGGATACTAGACGCTGCAAGAAAAATTTATTTACGGGAAGGGCTCAAGTGTTTCTACAAAGGATACATTCCAAATATATTGGGCATAGTGCCTTACGCTGGCATAGACCTTGCCGTTTACGAGACACTGAAGAAGAAGTACATCAGCAAGTACCAAGCTCACAACGAGCAGCCAGGCATGTTGCTGTTGCTGGCGTGTGGCAGCGCCTCCTGCACGCTCGGACAAGTCTGCTCGTACCCTCTGGCACTCGTCCGAACGCGATTGCAAGCTCAAGGTAACATAACACATAATTGTCTATTAATTCTATTCATTCAATTTTTATAAGAAAGGAACCAACCGGTCATGTAATTAGCCCAAAACGATTAAATTATCCTTTGTGTCCTAAGGATCAAGTAGTATTCAATCAGTGTTTGACTCGGACGCACTCGATCGAATCAGAAACAATAAACGATCAAGTACTGATTCGATTTGTATTGTTAAGGACACTGCACGCCATCGGTCAGCTCCTTTGATACTGGAAAAGAAATTGTTCTTAATGTACTACATATTGATTGACGCCGATGACTTGTAATGTAATACCAACAAATTTGTTAGTTGTCCGGGCAGGAATGAAATGATTCTTACTGACATGTCTGAGAAGAGCAGCCCGTTGCTCTTTGGAAAATATCAGGGATAGATACAATAATATTATGATACATACATATTCAACAACAGACTACTGAACAAGGATCAGTTTGCCGGCTGCAGTCTTTCCGTCCGAATACAAGTCGTAGTAGGTTCTTCAAGGCTAGAGTGAATAGGCTCTTTATAAACTAGTGCGCCTTACCATCAACGATTGCATCACTGCTTACCATCAGGTGGGATCGCAGTCAAGCACTAGTTTATTGCAAGTAAAAAAAAATTAGTATGGAATATTTACGAAAAACTGTGGTATCTAACATAAAATAATTTTAATTTAGTATAATAATCATAGTTCTAACCTGATAACGCTATCATCATGTCTATCTTGACAAAGATAAGTTGGCATTTCCGTGTCCGTAGATAATGCCTATATTAAAATAGTTTCCCACATAAATATTACTAATTCTTCTTACAACCTTATATTATATGTATTATCAAATTATATATTTAAAAAACGATGGCTCTTAGTATAATTGCCTGTATATCACGATCGGGCCATCACGATCTCCGTGTACATCTAGGTAAATAGACGTGTCTTCAATCTTTACTAAACCTTAAATATTTTGATTCCAGAAAAAGCAGCACATGGCGCGGAAAGCACAATGCGCGGTGCGTTCCGCGAGATCGTCCAACGCGAGGGCCTGAGAGGTCTATACCGAGGCATCACTCCGAACTTCATCAAGGTGATCCCGGCCGTGTCCATCTCGTACGTGGTGTACGAGTACGCGAGCCGGTCGCTCGGCGTGAATATGACGTGATCGCGCCGCCGACCCGCGGCTGCAGACGTCACGCGGCCGGCACGCGACATCCCCGTCGCGACCGTTCCGCCCCAACGCTCGAGCTCAAACTCGCATCACATTCTAATTTAAGCATATTAGCAAATTGCATTTCGTTGTACATAGCTCTTGTGCATGTTAAGTCTTATTTATTCTATGTACGTACGTGACATATTCCAATTTATTTAATTGTTTCAAAAGGATATTGTAATCTTTTAAGCTTGTAATTGTGTAGCGAACCATTGGTTGCATTTGGTGGTAAATTGAGGTGGATAGAATAAAACGACACTGACCAGAAGTCGGTCACACAACCTGTGATTACAATAAATTATGTATTTTTTTATTTTATTTTTATTTATTTTATTTTAATTATCCTTACACACTCTCTTATTAGACCGTCCACTCATATTTTACAAGCATTAAGTTTACGACTATCATTGCCCATCTGATATGAAAGAGTGTTGTAATCTCAAAATGGAACTAACTACTATTCTATATGAAATATAGAATATTTAGACAGTTTGAGTTTTTGATGATTTAATAGACATTATATGGACGAAGCCCCTAGTATACAGCAAGCATACAGCTATACTATACACGAGGTAAGGAAAGAGCTGTGATTAGTATAAGCAAAAAGTTTGAATTCAATTTTATAAGGTTTAACCTTACCCCTGTCTCGAAATGGTTTTTTTCGAGGCCGAGCATTTGAGAAACTATAGGGGTCATTAGATACATCTGAGAACAAAAGTACAATTATAACACTAACATTATTCATAACAAGTAATGTTTACTAACAATATCTTGCACCGGTTCTAAGATATTCTTGATTTTAGTCACAAATGCTCTCTATTTCTTTGCGTGTACTATTAAGCCTACTATGCTTCTTATCTACACCCTATAGTTAGAATACTAACAACACTCACTACACAAAGCTTTTGACAAACATAATATAGCATTGACGAAAATGTCCATTTGTAACTTATATGATTAAAATATTGAATTTGATTCTTACCGATGTGTTTATTATAGTTTGATTTCAATTGTTTTGCACTTAAAAATAATCCATCAGATTAATTACCTTTAAATCAACTCAATTTTTCTGATATTTAACTAATCCAAACAAGGATAAAAAGGAAACAAAAAATAACAATGTGTTTTTTCGCTTTGCAGTATTTTAAAATAAATATACAATTATTTTATTAGGTAGGTCTTTCAAATTGTATAATGCCTTTTTTAAATGTTTATCCCTTTAGATATTAGAACGAGAATAAATTAGTAAATTTTTCCTCTCTCTTAATATTGAGTGTTAGGTAGACTTTTCAATTATTACAAATTAATCGAATACTTTAGGATTATTGCCACTGTTTGCCTATATACACTGTTAATATATAATTATATGTTATAAATAGCCACATGTGGAATGCCCCTGAAAGTTATACTCTGGCATTTATTGATGGTAGACCTGAAAACGTCCAATAGTTCTGTAATTTATCGAAGAACGTCAGAGTTTTAATTTTATTGGGTATTGTGTATGGGTGCTGATGGTAGTGTTTGATGTTTACCTTCTTAGGATTTTACTCCTGATTACTACACAATCGTACTAAGAGTATAAAAATCCACTTGATACTTGTTTCTACCTGCCTTGTCCTGCTTGACGAGAGCTGTGGTACATAACAAGATACTTATAACTTATTTAAGTATTAACTTTGCTAATTGGCGTCAACAATTTTATTAATTAATTACTTAGCTACAGTTCTATCTATAACTTTCTACTGTTACTATTTTGTTTCTGCATGTTTTGCTAACGTGACGGTAATTATGGATTGGTGTGAAGAGATCTTTATACTACATAAATAGGCTTGCGTTTTTCTGCCACTAATACTGACACAGGAAGAATATTTATTGGCCAATAAATCTTCATCTTGTTTCGTTTCATGTTTTTTTTATTCTGTGGTTGTGTGGAAGCACTTACCTAATTTTTTTTTGTCGTGTCGGATATCTGAAGTTTGAAAATTATATAACTTTCGCAACGTAACTGACAACTTGTGAAAGCTTTTAATATAATTTTTAATTCTTGTGTTTATGTCCAACTAATATGTTATTATGTTGACGGTGATAATAACAACAGTCAGTTGGTCAATCATTTAATATTGTATACATTGTTTTCATGCATGTAATGTGGACAAAGTAATTAAATGATTGAACTAGGAAGATCTTTTCTATCAATCTAGAATTCAATTAATGGGTTTATGAATTCAAACGCTATTTGTTATATTAACAATACTTTTAATTATTATAATCGCACGTCGGTTGTTATTCGTTTAAAATTTGTTAAACATGCAATATCTTTAATATGTAGTGTGTTGAATTTTAATGCAATTTTGGTGTTATTTAGTTTTAGATACTAAATGTCGTGTAGCTTGCTAGCTAGGGTAGGTAGTAACAAATTTCGTATTGTGCTTATAAGTAGTATTGCTAGTTTACCTTTTCCCTACCTAAAATATGGTATAATATTTTAAATCGTGTTATACTCCAACCTCATGATGCCTTCAATTCAAGCAATACTGATATTTATTTATACAAAGGGTCAACAAGCAATGCGCGCTCTGGTTGCAGCGGGTACATTTAGGTACGTATGTGGGCAGGCGGAACGGTAAAATACAGAGGGGCCTAAATACCGTTAATAGTATTCAGCTACGGAGCATCAAGTACCTTAACTTAGTCAAATATTTTTGCTAATCAATTTCAAATCGATTCTGATAATTAATTACATTATTATATGAATATAATGTCATAGTTATTCAATTTAGAAATATTATAATACGTACACATTTTGGGCAATATATAAACGAAATATTTATTAAAGGAAGATGTGTGTCATCGAGTTGTATTTGAATTCACCTTTGACAATTTCGAATTAGGTACATATGTATTCTGAAATAAATACAGTGCTATATCTCACATATTTCCATTGCATAGTAAAGTATAAGCAATTATGCAATAAACCAGTGTTCTTATTAATAATAATTATTGTTATTAATACAGATAATACAGATTTTATACTATGTATCCAGTTTGCCTTTATCTCAAATAATAGATATTATATTCCCATTTTATATAACTGTGAAAGATACAATTATTTTGTTGAAATATTTCAATAAATAATTATTGCTGTTGATTGATATTTATCCGAATAAATAAATAAATCTTATATGGTTCATTTTATTTTATGAAATACCTACTTCCCTGTTTTTTTGTTAGGGTAAAAGCTCCCGCCCTAGGCGGGGTGGGGTTGAGGATTGTCAGACTCTTACTGACTATGTTTAGTCAGTAAGTGTTAGTGAGTAAGTCTTAGTGACTAAACATAGTCAGTAAGATTAACCCCCAGTTCCTACTCCTGCTCTAGGCCAAGCCTGCTGTGCCTCATTATGCATCACTAGTAACCCCAGCTAAATACCTTACTACCAAGTTATGCTATTTTGTTTAAATTTTGTTCTAAGAATATACGAAATACGTAAGTATAGCTAAATGTGTGTAAAAAAGACTTAAAAGAGTTATAGCATATATCAAGAAGAAAACAAGCCACTTCACAATGTGGATGTCCAATTTATTAATGTAATATCCAACCCACCTAAAGATTTTGGCAGGTTCCCTTTGATTCAGTGCCTGATTTTAGTTTTTCTTTAAGCAGGTATTCGTAGCAGACTCTCAGAGCTAGCCTATTCCTGTCTAAGGTTGTAACTTGATATCCAATAGCATCCGTAGTAAGGGAACTAAGGGAGACAGTTTCAACTATTTATTGACATTGTTCCCGTTCAGTTTCGGATTCCCAATTCAAAAGCTAGTACAGACTACTACAAAAAGTTAGTTTGAGAAACAAGAAAGATGATAATAATCTTATCATTCGTGTTAGCGATTTCTACGTTGCTTATTTAAATATATTATATAGTACCTACAGTAATTTAACATTTTGAACGAGGGACATATTCAAGAAACCGATTCGCATGCCCAAATGAAAAAAAAATCCGTTAGATTAATATGGAAATCTCACACAACGATATTTTGCCTGACCCGAGAATCGTACTCGGAACATGAGTAAGTTTTTTTTAAATTCTTAGACATCAATAGACGACCTAAGTCACAGAGAAGGTAAGTACTTTATTGGAAAGAAAACCTCAGACGACCTTAGTTCCCCATTACACATACAATAATTTTATTGTTTATTACTTAATTTTCTCGTTAATATTTATCTGCCATATTTGTAGATTCATTTGAAACCTAAAGTTTTCAAAAAGAAGACGAGATAAAAAGTTATCTGTAAGAAAGTTATAGGGGTTTTAATACCTTTTCTTAAATTCTATGATTTTTTTCTTATGGCAATTACCAAATCCGCTGTCTATGTTTTGAGCATTGTAATTAGTTGTGCATTTATTTAAAAAAATTAACGGTGATTTTACAAATAACAGAATTTAATACCTGCAGTTTTTACCCATAACAGAAATAGAAACGTTTTTAGTCGTATATTTTAAGGCAGCGAATTTATGAGTCCCTTGGCTAAAATTCACTGTATATTTTTTCGTTGATGAGATGGCAACACTGGTCTGATTGACATTACTATATCTGTGAATTTTTAAATGTCTTTCTTTTTAATTCAGCACGTGTAGACGCTGACGACTTGCTTATCATCCCATAAAACTAATTTAGGTAATAATAAATTATTCCACTGTATCCACGTGAATAAAGTGTAGTGATTGCTGTAGGATATTCTTTTTGTAAAGTAGGATATCTTACGAGTTTCTATTAAATTACATTGTTGAAATCTAAGGCACATATTATAAGTGGTATTTTTTGTGTTCGTGTTAATAAAAAATGGCATTGATCAGGTAACCAAAATGCCGTCTGACGCAAAGAAAAGGGCTCAACAGAAGAAGAAGGAACAGGCGAGCAACAGGAACAAGAAGACCGTGGCTAGAGTGACGAACGAGGAGAATGGTTCTGCTACTAACGGGAACAAGGAAGAGCGAGAGCTCACCGCAGAAGGTAAATACCACGGTGAAATTTGATATACACTCAAATTACTTCTTTGTCGTATTTTACTGGCAAATTAATATGTGCTTTAAAGAATTTCGCGATCAGACAGACCTTGTTATTGGATGTTCATTGCCATATTCAATCATGCATTAGTTATTACCTATCGAAGGATGCTCACTAATCCGATAACTGGTGAAGCACATGGTAGTATTATTGTATACTTATCATAAAAATAATAACGAAGTTACTTTAATAACCTACTGTATTAACATTACTGTCATCTTGGTCCTTTCCATTAAGTATCCTTGAGAAGTCTTGTCTAGAAAAAGGAAATAAGTATCCAGAATGAAATGTACATGGGTTTAAAGTTAAAACTGTTGGTGCGGCTTGTCAGTATTAAACTGTTTAGTTTGGTTCTTGGTATACCCAACTTGATAGGTTAGAAGGATCAAAAATGTTCCGAATGTGTAAAATGAACCAGCTTGTTCAGAAATGAAAAAAAAGAATTGATTTCTCCAACATTTGATTTAAATAGATTATTCCTTTGTAGTGTATAGTCCGCCCCTAAGACGACCCACTGACCGTCTTTTTTTTATCAACAACTAAACAAGTTTAGTGATCTTTAGGCTTTAAAATGTATGACATTTGTTGTAAATATGTAACCAACAATTTCATTAGGGTACATTTCAATGTGTGTAGCTGCTTGCACATGTAATTTATAGTTTTTAACCAAGAGCAAAATAAATTTTAAGTCTATTTGCTAAATAGATAAATTAAAAAAAATACTAAATATTGATATTGTTATGGTCAGCACCTGCACCTGTACCGGAAAACCAATCAGAAATAATACAGTTTGTCTACTTATATTGTTAAATGCAGCTACGTCATGGTCCACTAGTTTACTAGGTTCACTTACAAAATCAAAAGAAAAATAAACAAAAAATGT